AAGTGAAGCACTACTAGCAATGATATTGCTGTGTGATCAGGACAGAATAGAGAATTTGAACATAGAGTGGAATATCATACGACGAACAAATGGAGATTTTACTTCAACTTCTATATCATCACTAGTGTTTCAACCCAATCTTTGTGCTATATTTCCTGGGATGAAAGAAGTAGGAATGCATTTCTTATGACTCCTAGTCACAATAGCTACAGTTGACCATTCTTTTTCCTCAATGAACAGAATTTTGTGTTATGAAACAAGTTGCCTTCTGCCTAATCTTGAGTATATTATGAAGACTGGAAGTACAAGATACATGGGAAGCCACCAAAGAAGAATGCATTACATTCAAGAAGTTCATAAACAGATTTATGCTAAATTACAAGAAATCAAGAAAGATGTAGATGCAGTGCTTCATAATAGGCTTCAGTAGCTAGCTTTAATTTTTGTGATGATTGTAAAACATGAGTTAAATCTAAGAAAATGGTCGTGCATTTTTTTTCTGTTTTTTCCTGGGTTTAGTGTTTTGTTTTTTTTCTTCTTCTTTTTTTCCATACAGTCCACCTTGGCCCACACTCCTTATCAGCCCTCATCCCTTCTGTATAGTCAAACACCCTCCTTCCCCCATTTTAATTAGTGGGGAAAACACTGTTCCTGTCAGATTTCCAAATCATTTCAGCATACTTTAATTAGGAATGTGAAGGACTAATCGATTATCTGATAGCAAATGCTTATCGGATAACCAACAGGATAGTTCATTAGTCATTTCCCCAACCCTTGCTACTTGGGAAGGGAGGTAGTTCAAAGCAGCAGCCCTGCACAGAGCCTAGGGTCAGCTGCTCTGTGTGGCGCTGCCACTTTGAATGCTGTGAGGAGCCAGGATCCCCGTGGCATTTCAAAGTGGCAGCGCTGCGTGGAGCCCAAGATCCCCAGCTGACCCCGGGCTTCGGTGCTTTCACTTTTGAAGTGTAGCAACAGCCTAGAGCTCTTGCTACACTTCAAAGGTGGAGGCACCCTATTGACTAATCAAATAGACAATGCAAAAATGCATCGACTATTCGATAGTCAATTACATCCTTAACATCCTTAATTTTAATGACAAAAATGAGGTTTACTGCTATAAGTACTATGGAGATGATACAGCTAGGAGAGGACAAGCTGAGTTCTAAGTTAACTCTTATATCCTAATCAGAATTAATAAGGAACCCAATACTGCTCCCACTGGAGTCATGTGAAAATAAGCAGACTTCGGTGGGGAACAGGGTCAGACTCCAAGATTCATTTGCAGAACTCTTGTAGTGTTATATGACAGCCAGAACAGCTTAACTGTGATACAAGATCGAGTTTACTGTTTTAAAACAAAAAACTCAATCTGGTTATATGGAATGAACAAGCCTGATGTGGAAGCTGTTGAGAGAATTATTAAGCCATTTTTAATGTCTTTTCAGGATATAACCACTACTGGATTATCAACTAGAGGTTTCTAGTTTCTAGATATTATTTTAGTTAAGCAAGTGAAAAAATTACTATAACATATGTGGAGTGTGTGCAAGGGGATGAGTGTATATGGGGGCTGTCATGCTTATATAATACAAGATTAGCTAAACTGCTTTTGGTCAAACTTAAACACTTAATTAAGCTGCAACCAAACAGTATTTTTTCTGGATGAAACTTTCCATATGCATCATGAAAGGAGAATTAGAAATTAAACTGCATTTCTAAACAAGGTATCAATTGCATTAGCAAAGGCTACAATGTATTTTTATTTTGTCTGGGTTCAGAAAGTCATTGGCTGTTTTCTTGTCCTTTTTTCTTGTCACTCTGAACTTTCAAATAGAAAAAAAATACAAAAAAATCTCACCAGAGGAAGCAAACTTGTTGAGATGTAATTGTTAGTTATTTTTTCTGACCACAACTTTAAAAAGGAAGCCATGTTTGAAGAAAATATTTTTAAAGTTCTTAATGCTGAAGTGAACAATTTTACACATGCACTTACATTATTTTCTATTGCTTTGTTAGGCTGCAATACATAGAAGTAGCTACTGTTCACTACTATGTAACTTAGCTTAAGCAACTTTTCCATTTAGGGTGCATCTACACCACACTCTTACCTCAAAATATGCTACATAATTTGCTTACATAATTTCTGAATAAACTGCTATTCCAACAAGTCCCGTATCCCTCATGGAACAACGGTTACAGGGACACTGGAATAGCATGCCTGTTGTTAACAAATTTATTTTGTTTAAACATTACATAAGAGGAGTAGACAAAGCCTGGCATTGCCTGCAACTCTCTGTAGTTGAAAATCCCACCTTCCAAAAATGGGATATTACCTTGGTCTTGCAGTCACACACTTGAATCCTGAGGTAATAATCAGTAGCTCCACACTAAGGGTGTGTCTAGACTACATGCCTCCTTCGACAGAGGCATGTAGATTAGCCAGATCGGAAGGGGGAAATGAAGCCGCGATTAAAATAATCGCGGCTTCATTTAAATTTAAATGGCTGCCCCGATCTGCCGATCAGCTGTTTGTCGGCAGATCGGGGGAGTCTGGACGCGATGCCCCGACAAAGAAGCCTTTCTTCATCGACACAGGTAAGCCTCGTGAAACCAGGCTTACCTGT